GTAAATCAATTTCAGTGGAAATGATCTGAATTTTTGCTAACACATAATGATCTATATGATGACAGAAATGAAACAGCATTTTAAAGAGTGGGATTGGAGAGGGAATTTATAAATAAAGGGGGGGAAACACAACTTATCAATTTAATTTTGAAATATTTGTTTCCCTAATATTGTTGAATCTTTTGTGATGCCTTCTAGTAATTGAAGAGGCGAACTGGTTGACTTTACCAAGAGACATTCGTCATTTATTGGGAGATGGTTTCGACGCAGTGATTTGCTTGGGAAACAGCTTTGCTCACATGCCTGACACGTTTGGAGACCAAAGGGAGCAAAGGTGACATAGATATACTTTACATGTACATAAAATATATTTTATATTTATATACAAAATATATAATACATATATCATAGAATATTTAAATATATATAAATATAAAATATATTTTACAAGTAAATGTAATTTCATGATAACACGTTGATTGCCACATTGGTCACCTGTGACCAAACACTGTTTCCATGGTGGCCATCAGTGGCTGGATTTCCATGGTGGCTATCAACGCTTTAAGCGTTTTGATTAGTAAGTAAAATAAGATTAATATCATCAACTAAAAGATTTCGGACATCATAGTTAACTAGATAATTCCATTATGGAATAAAAAATTTCTGATTTCAAATTTTAAATAGTACTTTTCATAATAGTATTTAATTACCATTTAATTAAAGATTTTAATTGTATTTAATTGTACATTGTATTTTTATTATTTTATCACTGTTTGCTCGAGATAATGAAGATTCCCTTTGAGAGCATGAGTATAAAATTTGGCATGGCAGTGAACGCGTTATACATAACTGATAGATCGCGAGGAATTTCTATTTAATTTCTAATAATTGCGGAATGCCAGGCAAGCGTTGCGGAATTTCGAGCGCTGCGTGAAACCAGGTGGCTTGCTGCTGATTGATCACAGGAATTACGACGACATAATCGAAACTGGAAACATCCCGTCGAAATGCATATACTACAACGTAAGTATATGCTCCAGTGACTGTCGAGCTGTGCAACTTACACTTGCAACAAATAAATTTTCGATTTTCTTCCTTCGACAATTCTATGGAAAAAATTATATAATAAAATTATATTAACTTATATAAATTTATATAAATAATAAATTAATAAAATTAATAAAATTATAATAAATTAATAAAATTAATAAAATTATATAAATTTCCTGTTTATAAATACTTACTGTGTGAATCTGAAAATCATTCGAAATTATTTATTAAAATCAAATAATTTTGATTTTTTAATTCAAATTTCATTCGAAATTATTTATTAAAATCAAATAATTTTGATTTTTAACATTACTGAAGTTCATTCAAACTTTTCAAATTATTCGAAAATTTTTTCAGAGTCAACACATGACAGACATCAAGGCGTCGGTGCTATTCGTTTCTGGGAAGCCGGCTATCGTCACTCTGGATTATGTGATAATGATGGACGATGGTGAGGACGGGGACAAGGAGCAAATGCAGATCAACGAATTCCGACTGTCTTATTATCCGCACCGATTGAAAGTGTTCACCGACATGCTGGACGAAGCGTTCCATTACAGGGCCAAGCACACCATCTACGGCGACTTCAAACCCTTGGAGGAAACGGACACTCCTGGCTTTTACATCCACGTGACGGAGAAACCAGTGTAAACCAGGATCTCAATCCTCCTTCGTTTCCCATATTTATTTCGTGCAACGTGGAATATCAATCTCAAGCAGGAAGTCTCAATATCATCGAGATGTCATTTACATTGATCTTGATCAATCCTCCTATGAACTCCTGTTTCCTGCTTCTTTTTATTTGGTGTACTTTCCCTCGCGTTTTAAGGAACTCTTTCTAGAGTTCACACACACACTAAAAAAAGATATATTTTTCTGTAATTTTATATACATTTTGTATATAAATATTTATTTAATATATAATATAGTATAATATATCATATATTTAATATAATACTGTATATTTAATGTACAATATGGTATATGATATATTTAATACTTTATTTATATATAAAATATTTATATGTATAATACAAGAGGGACCAAAACTCACTTCCCACTAAGAAAAAAAAAGCACAAATTTGCAAACGCTCTGGTAGTCAACATTTGAAAGAAATAACTTTTAAAACGATAATGAAGAAACGTTTGAGCTTAAATTTCATTTTATAATGAATAAAATTAGTCAGTTAGTTAGGGATCAAAACTCACTTCCCACTAAGAAAAAAAAACACAAATTTGCAAACACTCTGGTAGTCAACATTTGAAAGAAATAACTTTCAAAACGATAATGAAGAAACGTTTGAGCTTAAATTTCATTTTATAATGAATTCATTTTATTTTATAATGAATAAAATTAGTCAGTTAGTTAGGGACCAAAACTCACTTCCCACTAAGAAAAAAAAGCACAATTTGCAAACGCTCTGGTAGTCAACATTTGAAAGAAATAACTTTTAAAACGATAATGAAAAAACGTTTAGGCTGAAATTTAATTTTACAATGAATAAAATTAGTCCTCTCTTTTATATTTTGATGCTTTATTGAAAAAAATAGTAGGGAAGGAACTTCTGGCCCACCCTGTATATATTATACACATAAGGACGTATTTCACAACATGTAATGCATATTAGAAACTAATTAATTCTGAATAGTGCATATTAGAATAATGCATATTAGAAACTAATTAATTCTGAAACACTGAGAAAAAGGGATAAATAAAAAGGATAAATAAAAAGGAACGCACAAGAATAATGCATATTAGAAACTAATTAATTCTGAAACACTGAGAAAAAGGGATAAATAAAAAGGAAGAAATGGAGGGGAAAATCGTGGTTGATTCGAGGGGATAAAAATTCGCAAAGAAATAGAACAGCGCAGCCCAGGTCAAGTTTTAATCCTTTTTTTATTATAAGTTCGAAAGCTTTCTTTTGAGTATTCTAGCCAGGCTTCGTTCGATGCTACAATTTGATCATTTCGACGATACGATTTTCTTCATCTTTTATTTCACGTCTTTTTTTTGTCTTTTTTTTCCTCTTTTTCGTCTGTCGTTAAATATCTTCGTCTCTCGGTGGTTTTTTTCTTTTTTTTTTTTTTTTTTTCTTTTTGAGCGGTCGTTGACGCCGATCTGTCTCGGACTCCTTCGATCGATCCGTATCGTTCGGATGCCTCGCAAAATAAGATTCGGGAAGACTAGCGAACGTAAGACTCGCGGGGGGGGGGGGGGGGGGG